CTCGGAGGAGCGAAGGAGGTCTCTCGGAAAAAAAGCTGTCTCTTATACACATCTAGATGTGTATAAGAGACATGTGTGTGTGTGTGTGTGTGTGTGTGTGTGTGTGTATAATCTGATTCCCTTTGAAAAGAGGGAGTGCCTTCAGGAACACAGATACAGGTGGTGCATGGTTGTCGTCGGCTTGTGTCGTGAGATGTGTGTGTGTGTGTCTTGCCCTACATCTATGCTACATCTATGTTACAGTTATGGCACTCAGGTGTTTTTCCTAGCTATGACTACTATCTCTCTCCTCTTCATAGACTTGCGCTGCCTTCTGCCTCCAGGTGCCATCCTCCTCTCTGTACCTCAGCAGCCCTCTCGCCCCCAGAATGAAACAGTCATTGCGGCTGGGCACTCTCTTGTAGAGTTGACCGGCCTACGGTGGAGATTTCGTTGTCTGGGCAACCCAGATTTGCTGCCGGCCAATATGTGTCCGAACCTAATTGGGACTGAAGACTTCTGAATCACCACAGACAGCCTTTGATTGTGCATCAAGTATGTGGTGGTGGTCGACTACTGAGAAATTTCTAACTCCTAACCTACTCTTCCCGAGTCTAGGCCTAAGTCCACCTAACTACTGATTTTCCTGGAGGCAACTACCTCGAGTGGGGTGCAGGCAGCCTGTTTTAACCCTGGACCCTGTACCTGTTGACCCTGGACTTTTCCCATACCAAACTTTTCCTAAACCACTCGAAGCCAAGAAACGCCACTTTCGACCTCTGAATCTAGAATTGGACCGAAAGTTACGACCCTGGCCTATTTCTACTGAATTTTGAACTGAGTTCATCGCACAGGGTTGTTACAATGCAGAATTTAAAGCCAAATTGGGACAGAGCATACCACCACTAAGTAACTGATAAGCGAGTTGGACAAGGATATTGCATGTTGAGAATTAAACCATAGGTAGATGGAAATACGTGGAATACATATTTCAAAGGGCAAGGCAGATAGCCCTCTCCGATCATCTGTTGGACGATAAGTTAGTAAGAGCTTGTACGTAGAGAATCCCTCTGAGGAGCACGAGATGCGCACCTGGCCAAAACGCATCGGGGAATGCGTGAGTCATTTTGACACTCGGTGCGCACTTGGCCAAAATGCATCGGGGAATGCACGAGTCACTCAGACTTATACACCCGGTGCTCACCTGGCCAAAACACGTCGGGGAATGCGTGAGTCACTCTGACTTATACACCCGAAAATTTTATGTATTTATTGTGGAAGCATATATGGAAGGCAGGTCTACCACTGCTTTTCTTCCTCCGTCCGCCTCTTCTTCTTCCTTGATTTCTTTCGCAATGAAGTGATTCAAACTTATCATTTGAATGGATTTAGCAGCAAGGATCATGAAAGACATTCCACGATGCAGATCCCAAATTCGAATTTCAGGCTCGAAGTCTCAAGCCAAGTAAGCCAAATATCTCACAGTCGAGTACCTTCAGAGTCAAGTCCAACAGGCACCCGGAGAACAATCACATCCCGGAGGCGAAGGTTGCGTTCTATAAGCAAAAGTCACACCTCATATTGAAAATTCATATCGAAAAGTCATATCCCACAGGCAAAGGACACTTCCCCAAGCAAAAGTCGTATCCCAGAGGCAAGAGTCACATCCCACCGTCAAAAGTCAGGCTCCACAGGTGGAAAGTCGTGACTCACAGACCCAAGCAGCAGCACACCAATGAAAATTCGGGAAAACTACCAAACCTTGACATTCTGAAACAAGCAGGCCGTGGGCATGTGGTACCAGTACCAAGTCAAGCCACAAGAAGCAGAGGTTGGGACGAGTGGAAGCTCAGTCCAAGTCAATATAAGGACTGGCCAGCCACATTTTGGACAGATTGCTCATTCGTGAGAAGTGTGGAAGTGCTGCTTAAGCACTTGTGAGCTATCTGCGAGTAGTATGTGCGCGAGAGCCCGCATAAGCTAGGAGTAGGGATAGAGCTGAGTAGCAGCGAATGTATTCAGAGTCAAGATTCTCAAGTAGAGAGGGAGGGGGAGAGAGCGCATGCATGAGGAAGATCAAAAGAGACAAGAGAGAAGACCGAGAGAGGCAAAAAGAAGATAGAGAGAGAGAGAGAGAGGAAGACAGGGAGAGAAGAGAGTCACCTACCTTTGATGAGGATGCTGGTGTTGGGCCACTGTATTCCGCGCTGTTGAGCGCCTGGTGACTGGATCTCCGAAACTGTTTAGCGTGATAATTTGTTGGAAATTCTAAGCTGCGCATATCTGGACTTTATATCACTGGACTCCAGTGTGGATTTCGTGTGATCTCTCAATGTGTGTGTGTGTGCTCACGGTGTCGAGCAGTGAGGCTCAATGCAATCACCAATGTTCGAAAACTTCAGAGAAAGGCATGGCAAGGGAAGGGGGCACTCACTTATAAGCCGCATCAGCCACAGAATAAACATGAGGGTTCAGATCCCCTGGCTGGGCATCCTGGTACTGCTTCATCATGTACGTGTTGAAAAGGTGCGGAAGCCTTGTGAAAGGATTTACGGCAATCAAAATATTCCCCGTGTAAGTCTGCAAAACGTATTCATGGGGCACATTGCAATCTTCAGCACATCGCCCATCCTCCAACACAAAATCAAACTTGAAAACAACGATATTAACAGCGCAAAAAGGGCACTCGTCAGGGAAGTCTTATCGTCCATCCACCAAGAACTACCAGACGCATAACATATCAGAAGTTTAACGGGCCCACCAAGGCCACCTATACATGACAATGCAAAAAACAAACAACATCCATCAAATGCGTCCTCTCAGAACGATAAACTGCACACAGAGGCCATGCTCTTAACCACGGTTTGCACCAGCAGATAGCTGGCTGCCATATTTGCAACAATTCGAGCAGCAGTGCTCAAAGCTCCAACATTCCGCCGAGTTCTGAGATACGAGGGTGACAGTCTGCAAATCACGTTCTTGTATAGAAAAAGTTCCGGCAAACTCCGATCTTGATCGCTATTCCCTCGACTTTTCCCTCGTCAGGCAAAATAGACAGCTCTCTGCTGATCTGCCGGGTGGGAGATCGGGTGCCATTGGAATCCCGATCCCTCTGGTATCTTGCCAACACCCAGCTCGTTGCATCTTATTCATCGCACTTCATCGCACAACCTACCTGACAACAACACAAACCCCGTGCGTCCTCCCCCCCCCCCCCCCCCCCCCCCCCTCCCTCTCTCTCTCTCTCTCTCTCTCTCTCTCTCTCTCTCTCTCTCTCTCTCTCTCTCTCTCTCTCTCTCTCTCTCTTCCCTGAACACAGCAATTTGCCTTAGACAACCGAAGGGACTAGACATTTTCGACGTCAGAGAGGTTGGGACCAGAGGTGCAAAAAGAAGAAACAAAATAGGACAGAAAATGACACGTACATAGATCTCATCGTGCTTGTATCTGGCGTAGAGATTGTGCAGAACGCCCGGCTCGTGCAAATACGACAGCTTCGTCATGTCATCAACCCCCCGCATCGTAACGTCTTCATCCCTGGGAAGAGCATTTGCCATTCTCGTTTCCACCTGCAGAAGACGATAAGCGAATAAGAAGTTAGGTGTCCACGAGTCTATGAGTCACGGGGGAAGGGAAACAACACCGCTGACTATCCACAGGGGAGCTGAGTGGCGACGGAAAAGGGAAGGGACAAGAGACAATCGTCGCCACAGTGGTTTCATGCTTCCCCATCAATCAAGAGTTCAAAAAGACTATATATACCTGCTGTCCATCGCTCAGACACAGCTAAGTCTGTACGATCATCGTTAGAGTGCACACATTAGCGGCTTCCATAACTAATTTTCGACTTCCCAAGACACGCCCCCCCCCCCCCACCTTTTGAACCTTCGATTTACCCACTAAATTACTTTCTAATCACTAAACCACTCGTCGAATAAGTTACATACATACACGGGAGTTTCCATCATAATTTTCACTTACCGTTTTCGCAGCCATCACTGCTATAATAAGGCCCAAAAAAAATCTTGAATGAACTCACCAACTTTCTGATTGCAAAACGGATTCCGGGCGCGAGAGCGAGAATTAGCGAACGGAGGTGAACAGGGATCGAAGAGCGGGGAGGAAGAGCAGGGAGGAAGAGCAGAGAGGAAGGGCAGGGGAAGGGAAGCGGAAGGGAGCTAGAAGAGAGCAGAAAGGGCAGGCGAAGGGAAGCGGAAGGGAAGCGAAAGGGAGCGAAAAGAGAGCGGAAATGGAGCGAGACGAAGGAGAACGAGGCGCAGAGAAGCAGGGAGAGAGGCAGGGAAAGTGTTACGAAGAGAGACAGAGAGAGGCAGAGAGGGAGGGAGAGGCAGGGAGAAAGGCAGGGACGCAGGGAAGAGGCAGGGAAGAGGCAGGGAGAGGCAGGGAGAGGCAGGGAGAGGCAGGAAGACGCAGGGAAAGGCAGGGAGAGGCAGGGAGAGGAAGGGAGAGGCAGCGAGAGGAAGGGAGAGGCAGAGGTCGAGGCAAGGACAGAGGAAGACGAAGGTGAGGATGGGGAGGGCATATGAGGAGAAAACGCAGAGAGACAAGCAGAAATAAAGAACATGCCCGTTGGCGAAGTCAATGACCGACAGGGCAAGTGGGCGCCAGACGATTCTTTTCGAGAGTGGTCGGGGGAGAGAAAGGGGGAGTCTCTGGCTGGGAGAGAGGTAGGCAGAGAGGCAGGGAGAGAGGCAGCGAGAGAGGCAAGGAAGACAGGGAGGCAAGGAGGCGCCGGGACTGAAGAAGACGGAAGGTGATTATGGGCAGGGCATAGGACGCGAAAATGGAGAGAAGGGGAGAAGAAATCGAGAACATCCCTATCGACAAAGGTAACGACCAACAGGTAAGTGAGCGCCAGACAATTCTTTTCCAGAGAGATCAAGAAGGGGAGGAAGATGGAGCGGCAGACACGGAGAGAGTGCGATGTCCCCAGCCGAAAAAAACAGCATCCGCGCGCTGGAGCAGCTGAGCAGGAGTAAATTGAAAAAGGGTTACGACGCGGAGAGTGAAAGAATTGATAAAGCGAAAATAGACCGAATGAGGGGCAAAGATAGAAAGAGAGAAGATGAGTGCGGCGGAAACGGGAAAAGGAGATCAAAGACCGAGACAAGAAGGGTACGGCCAAACTGTGGCCTTCGCCCCCTGGCTTACCAGATCGCCGTGAACCGTCCGTGCCGTGACGGCATCGCCATCGCGTTTCACCACGGTCGCTTCTATCCATGCGTTCTCCACATCTTCAACCCACACCGGCGAGCCAATCCCCAGTGCCGCAGACCTCGCCTCTTCCGACCCCTGGTAATTTGACAACACGGCCAAACGGGTGAGATCAGGAGCAGATTACCACCCAGACAGATGGAAGTCAGAGTAATGCAGTGGCTTCCTCTCTTTCATCGATCGTTTCCGGTCGAGTTATTTCTTACAATGCCAAAAGCGCGCAAGCCACCTCCCTGAAGAAACTCGAACAATGGCCGGTTTACTTTACCGCGTCCTCGCCAACATCACTAGTATAAATCTTCAGACTTTCCTCCTCTATCAATCCATCATCCATCCATCATCCATCCAACCTTTCATTCCGCCAAAGTATTTCGCTATAGCGGTCGCAATGTCCAGCAACCGGACGGCAACAAAATCAACCTGGAGAGAGAGCCACGCACAACTGCGCGCACGCGCAGAGCACAAGCAGGATAAACGTCGCAGAGGGACGACCACAAAGACACAGCAAACGGCTGAAGAAAGTGCACGAGGCGAGAAGGCATCACAGAGAAAGGGAAGGGTGGGCAGCAAGGAGAATGAGGAAGGCTTTCTTACCATGATGATTCTGAGTGAGAACCACGCTGCCGCTTCCACTGCCAGAAGACTCTTCAGTCTCACAAAAGAGGTGGACGAGAGGAATGTATCACAAGGCACCTGGACTTCCGCATCTACAGGCCTATGAATGACCTGCGGTGATAAGTGCACAAGTTGCGAGCCGAGCTCCTCCGATGTCGATGCCAAATTGCCCCCTCCTCTTCCTCTCCCCCTTCCGGTGTTTTTTCCTACTCATCTCCCTTCTACAAGCAGCAAGAGAAGGTAAGTACGCTGCTTCCTGTACCCCAAGTAATCACATAGACTGTTAAAAAAGAAAGCTTGGCTTCTTCTACAAAATCGAAATAAACAATGGTGTAATGAATCACTCGACCGATCTACCAAACAACCAAACTAGACACATGCTTCTAGGAAATTGAACTCTATCAGGAGAAGGCACAGGTGAAACAAAATACGGAGCTACGGAGAAAACTACGAGGAATCTTAGCATCATTCAATTCGTCCCAACCACGATCAACAACCCAACACCACCCTTCGCCTATCGCTCGAGGACTCCAAGCTGAACGAGTCCCGCTATCACTTACAAAAGAGCATAGTACTCTCTCTTCCCGCCCTCGCACACGCGACTCCGATCACTCCTCCAGACTGCCACGCTCTCCGCCATAATCCGACCCTCCCCTCATCCCTTTCTCCGTCTCCTACAAAATCCAAAAAGCTATTTTCGGCGACATCATCAATTCTCCTGCCTTTTTCTCTTCTCTTCCCGATGGACCTCGGATCAGATACTACTCCCCTCCCTCTCCCAACGCCTCGCCGGCTATTGTCTGCACACCTCCGTCTGTTCCTCACTCAGGTGTCAGGTGTGAGAAGTCGCAGCCAGAAGCCTACAGGCCTGCTGGGTTGCGTGGTTTGTTCTGTGCCGTTGTCTCGTTTCCAGAAAAAAATCGAGGTCGAGTGTGGAAGAAATTCGAGGTCGAGTGTGGAAAAACTTACGGGACTCGGGGGCGCGTGTGGAAAAAATTCGAAGGGGGCACCGTTCTATTTTTTTGTTTTGTTTTCTTCTTTCCTCGTTCTCGGGATAATTTGCAAAATACCCCCATAAGTTACATATATGCCAAAATGCCCCTGAAAGATGTGGATAGAGCGGACTTCCCTTCTGGGGCGAAATCGTTGTATTATGCCCTTTTTGGGCCGAAGTGACCGGTACCACCACATGGAAAATTGAGGGCAGTACTGGTGCAAATTATTCATTTAATCCACATATGCATTGCATTCCAGGGCAGTGCAGCGACTTTCTCGAAGGCAGAGGGCCCGGTCCAGGTTGAGTAGGCTCAGGGCCTCGCCACACCACGCCCGACTTGGGAAAATTTCCCGGAGTGCTCCCGGAAGCGAAAACCTGCTCGGGAGTGCCTTTCGCCACACTACACTCTCGACCCCGCTCAAATTCTGAAAATGTCATTTGCCACATATGGACAGGATCAGTGTGAAGCAGTCTGGCAGAAGTCGTTTGTCCCTTCCGGCTCCACTCCCGAATCTGGGACGAAACTCGGAGGAGCGAAGGAGGTCTCTCGGAAAAAAAGCTTTGCAGGCCATGAGTTGGGGAGTGCTCTCGGGAGGCACATTCTGACAGCTCCCGAATTCAATCTGACAGCTTGAACTCGGGAGCTGGTGTGGCGATGCTGCACTCCCGAAAATGGCCAAGTCGGGAGTAGTGTGTCCAGGCCCTCAGTTCTGCTAGGTGGCCGAGGGCATTACACAGACAAAAAATGTGGTGTTGTATCTTTCCATGTTCTGGCCAGAGATTCATCCCCCTTTTGCCATTTGATGTGCAAAATGGGAATGAATCTTCCTCTAGAACATAGAAAAATACAACACCCTGGCATAGTCAGGCGCAGTCAGGCACATGGCTTAGAGGCTCACCACACAGTCTGTAGAAAACCAGGTTTTCTACAATTTCGCATAGCCACACAGACTTCCGAAGAACTCAGAATGGTCCCTTCCACAGCCACCCCTCCAGCAACCGTTTCCACTAGCCTGCAGGTGACGGAAATTCGACAGTGGCCCGCCGACCTTTCAAAAATTGCGTTCGGATTTGCGTTGTCATGGACTGTTCCGTCAACTTCCGTGAAACCCGTCCGCCTGGCCATGACCAAAAACCTTGCCCCTCTACAGCCTGTGTGGCAAAGGGAGGGGAAATTGTCAACCACCCGACTGTCGAAAATTTTCGACATTCGACAGCCTGTGTGGCGAGCCTCTTACCGCTGTCCCCTGGCTTCCCGTTGCCTCCACTGCCACTTTCTCGGCCACCGTTTGTCAGACAGCGGGAGACAACCAAGAAGAGCGCAGGGGCCTCCCTCCACTACTCTCGAGATGCACAAAAGACAAAAATCATGGTGGTGTATCTTTGCGTGTTCTAGCGAAAGATTCACTCTCGTTTTGCACAAGAAGAGTAGCGGAGCGGAAAAAAAAAATAAAAAAAATAGACCGAGGTCCCAGGTCATGCACAGAGAGAGAGAGAGAGAGAGAGAGAGAGAGAGAGAGAGAGAGAGAGAGAGAGAGAGAGAGAGAGAGAGAGAGAGAGAGAGAGAAGACCTCAAAAAGAAAGGGAGAAAAAAAACAAAAGAAGAGGATTCTATTCGAATATTTTTGAAATTCAAATAGAACGCATATGCGTTTTATGCGAATACAAAGCATATGCATTGTATTCAAAGTGCCCTTCTATTTGAAAAAAAGGCACATGATATTTGTTCGGACTGCGGCTTGGGATTCTCTTGTATCTCCTAATCCAGTGGTCGAGCCACTACTGGTCATTACCCGGTACTTGCTCGCTAGGGAACAGGGCTTCTTCACATTAGATAGGCAATGGGCGAAGGATAAGAATAGTGTGTGGAAATAGACAAAGGATCTGTTACACTCTATGGGGGAGTGGCTCACCACGGGTGCTGGTTTCTCTATCATCAAAGCTCACTTCAGAAATAAAGAGGAACAAATATGTATAAAAAAGATAGAGGAAGCAGAAGCTTCTTTAGGTTATCGACCGGTGTCGGATGTGTTTTGGTCTAGGGAAAGGGTGAGCTGGCTAACTAGATCGGAAGCTTTGCAGCTAGACAAGCAGAAAATATGGTCGGAACGCTGCAAAATCAAGGGGGTGGAAAAATTGGAGTTAAACCACCAGTATTGCTCTCAGCTATTGAAGCCGAACCTGGAACGACCGGTTAGCCGAACCTGTTCGAACCTCAGGCTACGAGAGCCGGTTAACCGAGCCCTCATTTTTCACCTCAATTTATAAGAAAACCATAAGGTCATTTCAAGCAAACTCCGCACCAATGTATAGAGTGCACTTCTTACTAACATATTATTAAAAAAAAGCCAAAAAATAATAATAAAAAACACATAAAACAGCACCTCAATAGTGCATTTTCAGGCAATTTTGCCAAAAAAAAAAGTAGGGGTCCCTGTTAACCGCTGGTGCAGGCTACCGGTACTACACTGTGAAAAGGGGCTCACATACCGAAACGTTCACATTGTGCCATTAAACAAGAGAGTGTGCCCCGCCCCCCACAGCGGGCGTTGATGCGGAGGAATATCTCGGAAGGAGAGTCATCCGATAGCAGGCGGGCGTCGTTTAAGGAGGGCGCCCCGAGAGCGGGGCACATGGCGAGCATTGATGCGGAGGAATATCTCGGAAGGAGACT